CACCAGCAGTGTTGCTACACTGTGGTAACACCAGCAGTGTTGCTACACTGTGGTAACACCAGCAGTGTTGCTACACTGTGGTAACACCAGCAGTGTTGCTACACTGTGGTAACACCAGCAGTGTTGCTACACTGTGGTGACACCAGCAGTGTTGCTACACTGTGGTACACCAGCAGTGTTGCTACACTGTGGTGAACACCAGCAGTGTTGCTACACTGTGGTAACACCAGCAGTGTTGCTACACTGTGGTAACACCAGCAGTGTTGCTACACTGTGGTGACACCAGCAGTGTTGCTACACTGTGGTAACACCAGCAGTGTTGCTACACTGTGGTACACCAGCAGTGTTGCTACACTGTGGTAACACCAGCAGTGTTGCTACACTGTGGTAACACCAGCAGTGTTGCTACACTGTGGTAACACCAGCAGTGTTGCTACACTGTGGTAACACCAGCAGTGTTGCTACACTGTGGTACACCAGCATGTTTGCTACACTGTGGTAACACCAGCAGTGTTGCTACACTGTGGTAACACCAGCAGTGTTGCTACACTGTGGTAACACCAGCAGTGTTGCTACACTGTGGTAACACCAGCAGTGTTGCTACACTGTGGTAACACCAGCAGTGTTGCTACACTGTGGTAACACCAGCAGTGTTGCTACACTGTGGGTAACACCAGCAGTGTTGCTACACTGTGGTGACACCAGCAGTGTTGCTACACTGTGGTAACACCAGCAGTGTTTTCTACACTGTGGTAACACCAGCAGTGTTGCTACACTGTGGTAACACCAGCAGTGTTGCTACACTGTGGTAACACCAGCAGTGTTGCTACACTGTGGTGACACCAGCAGTGTTGCTACACTGTGGTAACACCAGCAGTGTTGCTACACTGTGGTACACCAGCAGTGTTGCTACACTGTGGTGACACCAGCAGTGTTGCTACACTGTGGTAACACCAGCAGTGTTGCTAAAACTGTGGTAACACCAGCAGTGTTGCTACACCGTGGTAACACCAGCAGTGTTGCTACACTGTGGTAACACCAGCAGTGTTGCTACACGTGGTGACACCAGCAGTGTTGCTACACTGTGGTAACACCAGCAGTGTTGCTACACTGTGGTGACACCAGCAGTGTTGCTACACTGTGGTAACACCAGCAGTGTTGCTACACTGTGGTAACACCAGCAGTGTTGCTACACTGTGGTAACACCAGCAGTGGTTGCTACACTGTGGTAACACCAGCAGTGTTGCTACACTGTGGTAACACCAGCAGTGTTGCTACACTGTGGTAACACCAGCAGTGTTGCTACACTGTGGTAACACCAGCAGTGTTGCTACACTGTGGTGAAAACCAGCAGTGTTGCTACACTGTGGTAACACCAGCAGTGTTGCTACACTGTGGTAACACCAGCAGTGTTGCTACACTGTGGTAACACCAGCAGTGTTGCTACACTGTGGTAACACCAACAGTGTTGCTACACTGTGGTGACACCAGCAGTGTTGCTACACTGTGGTAACACCAGCAGTGTTGCTACACTGTGGTACACCAGCAGTGTTGCTACACTGTGGTAACACCAGCAGTGTTGCTACACTGTGGTACACCAGCAGTGTTGCTACACTGTGGTAACACCAGCAGTGTTGCTACACTGTGGTAACACCAGCAGTGTTGCTACACTGTGGTAACACCAGCAGTGTTGACTGTAAAACCTACACTGTGGTAACACCAGCAGTGTTGCTACACTGTGGTGACAAACCAGCAGTGTTGCTACACTGTGGTAACACCAGCAGTGTTGCTACACTGTGGTAACACCAGCAGTGTTGCTACACTGTGGTAACACCAGCAGTGTTGCTACACTGTGGTAACACCAGCAGTGTTGCTACACTGTGGTAACACCAGCAGTGTTGCTACACTGTGGTAACACCACAGTGTTGCTACACTGTGGTAACACCAGCAGTGTTGCTACACTGTGGTAACACCAGCAGTGTTGCTACACTGTGGTGACACCAGCAGTGTTGCTACACTGTGGTGACACCAGCAGTGTTGCTACAACTGTGGTAACACCAGCAGTGTTGCTACACTGTGGTAACACCAGCAGTGTTGCTACACTGTGGTAACACCAGCAGTGTTTTCTACACTGTGGTAACACCAGCAGTGTTGCTACACTGTGGTAACACCAGCAGTGTTGCTACACTGTGGTAACACCAGCAGTGTTGCTACACTGTGGTAACACCAGCAGTGTTGCTACACTGTGTAACACCAGCAGTGTTGCTACACTGTGGTGACACCAGCAGTGTTGCTACACTGTGGTAACACCAGCAGTGTTGCTACACTGTGGTAACACCAGCAGTGTTGCTACACTGTGGTAACACCAGCAGTGTTGCTACACTGTGGTAACACCAGCAGTGTTGCTACACTGTGGTAACACCAGCAGTGTTGCTACACTGTGGTAACACCAGCAGTGTTGCTACACTGTGGTAACACCAGCAGTGTTGCTACACTGTGGTAACACCAGCAGTGTTGCTACACTGTGGTAACACCAGCAGTGTTGCTACACTGTGGTAACACCAGCAGTTGCTAACTGTGTACACAAGTGTTGAACTGTGGTAACACCAGCAGTGTTGCTACACTGTGGTAACACCAGCAGTGTTGCTACACTGTGGTAACACCAGCAGTGTTGCTACACTGTGGTACACCAGCAGTGTTGCTACACTGTGGTAACACCAGCAGTGTTGCTACAACAGTGGTAACACCAGCAGTGTTGCTACACTGTGGTAACACCAGCAGTGTTGCTACACTGTGGTAACACCAGCAGTGTTGCTACACTGTGGTAACACCAGCAGTGTTGCTACACTGTGGTAACACCAGCAGTGTTGCTACACTGTGGTAACACCAGCATGTTGCTACACTGTGGTAACACCAGCAGTGTTGCTACACTGTGGTAACACCAGCAGTGTTGCTACACTGTGGTAACACCAGCAGTGTTGCTACACTGTGGTAACACCAGCAGTGTTGCTACACTGTGGTAACACCAGCAGTGTTGCTACACTGTGGTAACACCAGCAGTGTTGCTACACTGTGGTAACACCAGCAGTGTTGCTACACTGTGGTAACACCAGCAGTGTTGCTACACTGTGGTAACACCAGCAGTGTTGCTACACTGTGGTAACACCAGCAGTGTTGCTACACTGTGGTACACCAGCAGTGTTGCTACACTGTGGTAACACCAGCAGTGTTGCTACACTGTGGTAACACCAGCAGTGTTGCTACACTGTGGTAACACCAGCAGTGTTGCTACACTGTGGTAACACCAGCAGTGTTGCTACACTGTGGTAACACCAGCAGTGTTGCTACACTGTGGTAACACCAGCAGTGTTGCTACACTGTGGTAACACCAGCAGTGTTGCTACACTGTGGTAACACCAGCAGTGTTGCTACACTGTGGTAACACCAGCAGTGTTGCTACACTGTGGTAACACCAGCAGTGTTGCTACACTGTGGTAACACCAGCAGTGTTGCTACACTGTGGTAACACCAGCAGTGTTGCTACACTGTGGTAACACCAGCAGTGTTGCTACACTGTGGTAACACCAGCAGTGTTGCTACACTGTGGTAACACCAGCAGTGTTGCTACACTGTGGTAACACCAGCAGTGTTGCTACACTGTGGTAACACCAGCAGTGTTGCTACACTGTGGTACACCAGCAGTGTTGCTACACTGTGGTAACACCAGCAGTGTTGCTACACTGTGGTAACACCAGCAGTGTTGCTACACTGTGGTGACACCAGCAGTGTTGCTACACTGTGGTAACACCAGCAGTGTTGCTACACTGTGGTAACACCAGCAGTGTTGCTACACTGTGGTAACACCAGCAGTGTTGCTACACTGTGGTAACACCAGCAGGTTGCTACACTGTGGTAACACCAGCAGTGTTGCTACACTGTGGTGACACCAGCAGTGTTGCTACACTGTGGTAACACCAGCAGTTTGCTACACTGTGGTAACACCAGCAGTGTTGCTACACTGTGGTAACACCAGCAGTGTTGCTACACTGTGGTAACACCAGCAGTGTTGCTACACTGTGTGACACCAGCAGTGTTGCTACACTGTGGTAACACCAGCAGTGTTGCTACACTGTGGTAACACACAGAGTGTTGCTACACTGTGGTAACACCAGCAGTGTTGCTACACATGTGGTAACACCAGCAGTGTTGCTACACTGTGGTAACACCAGCAGTGTTGCTACACTGTTGGTAACACCAGCAGTGTTGCTACACTGTGGTAACACCACAGTGTTGCTACACTGTGGTAACACCAGCAGTGTTGCTACACTGTGGTAACACCAGCAGTGTTGCTACACTGTGGTAACACCAGCAGTGTTGCTACACTGTGGTAACACCAGCATGTTGCTACACTGTGGTAACAAACCACAGTGTTGCTACACTGTGGTAACACCACAGTGTGCACACTGTGGAACACACAGTGTTGCTACACTGTGGTAACACCAGCAGTGTTGCTACACTGTGGTAACACCAGCAGTGTTGCTACACTGTGGTAACACCAGCAGTGTTGCTACACTGTGGTAACACCAGCAGTGTTGCTAACACTGTGGTAACACCAGCAGTGTTGCTACACTGTGGTAACACCAGCAGTGTTGCTACACTGTGGTAACACCAGCAGTGTTGCTACACTGTGGTAACACCAGCAGTGTTGCTACACTGTGGTAACACCAGCAGTGTTGCTACACTGTGGTAACACCAGCAGTGTTGCTACACTGTGGTAACACCAGCAGTGTTGCTACACTGTGGTAACACCAGCAGTGTTGCTACACTGTGGTAACACCAGCAGTGTTACTACACTGTGGTAACACCAGCAGTGTTGCTACACTGTGGTAACGTACCGTTATTACTGTTTGTAAATAACGTTCCGTTATTGCCGTTTGTAAATAACTTTCTGTTATCTACTGTTTGTCACTAACGTTCCGTTATTTATGTATTTGATACAGCTGGCTGTGTCTTCTTGTAAGATACATGATGATAATGTGATGACATGCGATTTTAATTCACGTGAAGCGCTAAACCCGTGTGTGTGCGGCGGTCATTCAGCGGGGAGACTAGCGGTGACAGGGGTCTCCTGCCCCGTGTGTTCAGGGAGCATTCTGAGTGTTCAGGGAGCATTCTGAGTGTTCAGGGAGCATTCTGAGTGTTCAGGGAGCATTCTGAGTGTTCAGGGAGCATTCTGGGTGTCAGGGAGCATTCTGAGTGTTCAGGGAGCATTCTGAGTGTTCAGGGAGCATTCTGAGTGTTCAGGGAGCATTCTGAGTGTTCAGGGAGCATTCTGGGTGTTCAGGGAGCATTCTGAGTGTTCAGGGAGCATTCTGAGTGTTCAGGGAGCATTCTGAGTGTTCAGGGAGCATTCTGAGTGTTCAGGGAGCATTCTGAGTGTTCAGGGAGCATTCTGAGTGTTCAGGGAGCATTCTGGGTGTTCAGGGAGCATTCTGGGTGTTCAGGGAGCATTCTGAGTGTTCAGGGAGCATTCTGAGTGTTCAGGGAGCATTCTGGGTGTTCAGGGAGCATTCTGGGTGTTCAGGGAGCATTCTGAGTGTTCAGGGAGCATTCTGGGTGTTCAGGGAACATTCAGGGTGTTCAGGGAGCATTCTGGGTGTTCAGAGAACATTCTGGGTGTTCAGGGAGCATTCTGGGTGCTCAGGGAACATTCAGGGTGCTCAGGGAACAGTCAGGGAACATTCAGGGTGCTCAGGGAACATTCAGGGTGCTCAGGGAACATTCAGGGTGTTCAGGGAGGATGCAGGAGGGCTTGCCTGAGTTGGTGTTCCCTGTAGAGGCTGACCAAGCGCATTACCTGACCCTTATGACCGCCCCCTGTGGGTGGCGCCCACCCACTCCCACCCACCAGGAAGCACGCCCACTTACGCCCACTTCCCCGCCTGCTACAGCGGGCGGGGCGCTCACACGGTATGGTCTAGTGGTGGGGGAGGGGGAGGGCGTGCAGTTGGGGGAGGGGCGAGCCCCCCACCCCACACCTCCACCCAGCTCGGGCGTGGGCGTGCAGGATGAGGGCGCGGGGGCATGCCTGCCCATAAATAGCACGCCCACCGACGATACACGCCCACCACAACATGAGGTGTTGGTGCATTTAGCCGATACGCTCATGGATGTGGGCGTGGATGATGCCGTGGGCGGCGTGGATGCTGCCGTGGGCGTGGACGATACCGTGGGCGGCCCGGATGTGGTAGTCTGTGTGGACTCATCACGGGCGGCGTCTCTGACCAGGACCTGCAGGTGGTCTGGCTACAAGAAGGTAAATAACCAGCTGTCACGGAGTAGCCAGCTGTAATACAATAGCCGGTTGTCACACAGTAACCACCTGTACACAGTAGCAGCGTACCAGTAGCCGGGACTTCATACAGTGGGCCAGCTATCACACAGTAGCAGCTATCACACAGTAGCCAGCTGTCACACAGTAGCCAGCTATCATACAGTAGCCAGCTGTCACACAGTAGCCAGCTGTCACACAGTAGCCAGCTATCACACAGTAGCCAGCTATCACACAGTAGCCAGCTATCACACATAGCCAGCTGTCACACAGTAGCCAGCTATCAAAACTGTAGCCAGCTATCAAAAGTAGCCAGCGTCCACACAATAGCCAGCTGTCACACAGTAGCCAGCTATCACACTGTAGCCAGCTATCACACAGTAGCCAGCTGTCACACAGTAGCCAGCTATCACACGGTAGCCAGCTATCACACAGTAGCCAGCTATCACACAGTAGCCAGCTGTCACACAGTAGCCAGCTGTCACACAGTAGCCAGCTATCACACTGTAGCCAGCTATCACACAGTAGCCAGCTATCACACAGTAGCCAGCTGTCACACAGTAGCCAGCTGTCACACAGTAGCCAGCTGTCACACAGTAGCCAGCTGTCACACAGTAGCCAACTGTGAATGAGAGGGGGAGAGAGAGTGAGAGTGAGAGCAGTGAGAGAGAGAGAGAGAGAGAGAGAGAGAGCGAGAGAGAGAGCTGAGACAGAGTAGAGGAGAGAGAGAGAGCTGATAGAGAGAGAAGAGAGAGAGAGAGGAGGGGAGTGAGAGAGAGAGGGGAGAGAGGAGAGAGAGAGAGAGAGAGAGGAGAGAGAAAAGAGAGAGAGGAGGAGAGAGAGGGATGAGAGAGGAGAGAGAGGAGTGAGAGAGAGAGAGAGAGAGAGAGAGAGAGAGAGAGAGAGAGAGAGAGAGAGAGAGAGAGAGAGAGAGAGAGAGAGAGTGAGAGAGAGAGAGAGAGAGAGAGAGAGAGAGAGAGAGAGAGAGAGAGGAGGCAAAGTGAGAGAGAGAGAGAGAGAGGGGAGAGGTTGAGGGAGTAGAGAGAGAGAGAGAGAGAGAGAGAGAGAGAGAGAGAGAGTTATCTTCACATACACTAAGACTGACCACCACCAACCTTCAGTCAGGTTATATTAAGAATTCTGCGGGTGTGAGGAGACACAGGTGTGTGCTGACAGGTGTTGGGAGTCACAGGTGTTTTGGGTGAGTCACTGGTGAGAGATAGTTTTATTTTTATTAAAGATTGGCGTATATTTAGTAAAATAATATGTTTTGTGAACACAGGTGTTATACTCACGGAAACACAGGTGTTATACTCACGGAAACACAGGTGTTATACTCACGGAAACACAGGTGTTATACTCACGGAAACACAGGTGTTATACTCACGGAAACAAGGTGTTATACTCACGGAAACACAGGTGTTATACTCACGGAAACACAGGTGTTATACTCACGGAAACACAGGTGTTATACTCACGGAAACACAGGTGTTATACTCACGGAAACACAGGTGTTATACTCACGGAAACACAGGTGTTATACTCACGAAACACAGGTGTTATACTCACGGAAACACAGGTGTTATACTCACGGAAACACAGGTGTTATACTCACGGAAACACAGGTGTTATAGTCACGGAAACACAGGTGTTATACTCACGGAAACACAGGTGTTATAGTCACGGAAACACAGGTGTTATAGTCACGGAAACACAGGTGTTATACTCACGGAAAACACAGGTTTATACTCACGGAAACACAGGTGTTATACTCACGGAAACACAGGTGTTATACTCACGGAAACACAGGTGTTATACTCACGGAAACACATGGTTGTTATACTCACGGAAACACAGGTGTTATACTCACGGAAACACAGGTGTTATACTCACGGAAACACAGGTGTTATACTCACGGAAACACAGGTGTTATACTCACGGAAACACAGGTGTTATACTCACGGAAACACAGGTGTTATACTCACGGAAACACAGGTGTTATACTCACGGAAACACAGGTGTTATACTCACGGAAACACAGGTGTTATACTCAAAGAAACACAGGTGTTATAGTCACGGAAACACAGGTGTTATACTCACGGAAACACAGGTGTTATAGTCACGGAAACACAGGTGTTATAGTCACGGAAACACAGGTGTTATACTCACGGAAACACAGGTGTTATACTCACGGAAACACAGGTGTTATACTCACGGAAACACAGGTGTTATACTCACGAAACACAGGGTGTTATACTCACGGAAACACAGGTGTTATACTCACGGAAACACAGGTGTTATACTCACGGAAACACAGGTGTTATACTCACGGAAACACAGGTGTTATACTCACGGAAACACAGGTGTTATACTCACGGAAACACAGGTGTTATACTCACGGAAACACAGGTGTTATACTCACGGAAACACAGGTGTTATACTCACGGAAACACAGGTGTTATAGTCACACAAACACAGGTGTTATAGTCACACAAACACAGGTGTTATAGTCACACAAACACAGGTGTTATAGTCACACAAACACAGGTGTTATAGTCACACAAACACAGGTGTTATAGTTACACAAACACAGGTGTTATAGTCACACAAACACAGGTGTTATAGTCACACAGACACAGGTGTTATAGTCACACAAACACAGGTGTTATAACCACACAAACACAGGTGTTATAGTCACACAAACACAGGTGTTATAGTCACACAAACACAGGTGTTATAGCCACACAAACACAGGTGTTATAGCCACACAAACACAGGTATTTATAGTCACACAAACACAGGTGGTTATAGTCCACACAACACAGGTGTTATAGTCACACAAACAGGTGTTATAGTCACACAAACACAGGTGTTATAGTCACACAAACACAGGTGTTATAGTTCACACAAACACAGGTGTTATAGTCACACAAACACAGGTGTTATAGTCACACAAATACAGGTGTTATAGTTACACAAACACAGGTGTTATAGTCACACAAACACAGGTGTTATAATTAACCTGGGTTAACACAGTACAGTTAACCAATATGTCTTATCTCCTGTGGGAATCCTGGTTATTTTATACTTACATAATTCTTAGGGTTATATAGATTGGGGTGGGTTAGGGTGGGTGGGTTGTGGTGGGTGGGTTAGGGTGGATGGGTTGTGGTAGGTGGGTTGGGGTGGGTGGATTGGGTGGGTGGGTTAGGGTTGGTGGGTTAGGGGGGGTGGGTTGGGGTGGGTACATTTGAGATCAGCAGAATGAAAGGACATTACCCACCCGCTATGTTGAGAGTAGTGAAGGTGTGAGAAGGATGGTAGGGTGAGGGAGAGAGGCAGGGAGGGAGAGAGAGAGGCAGGGGAGAGAGAAGAAGCAGGGAGGGAGAGAGAGAGGCAGGGAGGAGAGAGAGGGGCAGGGAGGGAGAGAGAGAGGCAGGGAGGGGAGAGAAGCAGGGATGGAGAGAGAGAGAGGCAGGGAGGAGAAAGAGGGGCAGGGAGGGAGAGATAGAAGGAGAGAGAGAGAGGCAGGGAGGGAGAGATTTGAAGGAGAGAGAGAGAGAGAGAGGGAGAGAGAGTAGAGAGAGAGAGAGAGCTGAGTGAGAAATTGATCACTTACTGTCCCAGACATCATATCTTTGTGGCGCAGCGAGTCAGTGCTGGAGAGAGAGAGAGAGAGAGAGAGAGAGAGAGAGAGAGAGAGAGAGAGAGAGAAAGAGAGAGAGAGAGAGAGAGAGAGAGAGAGAGAGAGAGAGAGAGAGAGAGAGCACTCAGTGTATGTACACTCAGAGTGTAGTTTAATCCCTATATTAAATATTAAGGTGTTGGTGACTGGAGAAGCACAGGTGACTTAGAGCCTTAATGAGCGTACCATCTCAAGACAGCATCAGTTGTGTGTGTGTGTGTGTGTGTGTGTGTGTGTGTGTGTGTGTGTACTCACCTAATTGTACGTGCAGAGCTTGATTCACAGCTCTTGGCTCTGCCTCTTCGCTGGTTACTACTAGGTATACTCTCTCTCTACTCCATGAGCTTTATCGTACAACTTCTTAAAGCTGTGTGTGGATTCTGCCTCCACTACATCACTTGCCAGACTATTCCACTTCCTGACAACTCTGTGACTGAAGAAATACTTCCTAACATCCCTGTGATTCATCTGAGTCTTCAACTTCCAACTGTGTCCCCTGGTTGCTGTGTCCCATCTCTGGAACATTCTGTCTCTGTCCACCTTGTCAGTTCCTCTTAGTATTTTATGTCGTTATCATGTCCCCCGATGTCCCTCCTGTCCTCCAGTCTCGTCAGGTTTATTTCCCTTAACCTCACCTCGTAGCACATACCCCTTAACTCTGGGACTAGTCTTGTTGCAAACCTTTGCACTTTCTGTAATTACTTACGTGTTTGACCAAGTGTGAGTTCCATACTGGTGTTGCATACTTCAGTATGGGCCTGACGTACACGGTGTACAGAGTCTTGAACGATTCCTTACTGAGGTGTCGAAATGCTATTCTTAGGTTTGCTAGGCGCCCATATGCTGCAGCAGTTATTTGGTTGATGTGCGCCTCAGAGATGCTTGGTGTTATACTCACCCAAAGATCCTTTTCCCCGAGTGAGGTTTGCAGTCTTTGGCCACCTACGATGTACTACGATGACTTTGCACTTGGTGGGGTTAAGCTCCAGGAGCCAGTTGCTGGATCAAGCTTACAGCCTGTCCAGATCCCTTTGTAGTCCTACCTGATCCTCATCCACTGGAATTCTCCTCATTAACTTCACATCGTCTGCAAACAGAGACACCTCTGACTCTATCCCTTCCGTCATGTCATTCACATATACCAGAAACAGCACCGGCCCTAGGACTGACCCTTGTGGCACCCCGCTCGTCACAAGCGCCCAGTCTGACACCTCGTCACATACCATGACTCGCTGTTTCCTCCCTGTCAGGTATTCTCTGGTCCATTGCACTGCCTTGTTATTCCTGCCTGATCCTCCAGCTTCTGCACTAATCTCTTGTGTGGAGCTAAGTCGAA